GCCCCCCCGGCCCCTCCCGAGCCCCCCACCGCCCAGGCCGCCGCCCACGCAGGGCCGATTCCAGGCGGGCCGCCGGGGGCGGGCAAGTGTGACCCCACTCGTGTCGCCTACGCGCCACGCCGCGCTGCCGAGGACCCAGCGGGAGCCACTTACCCGAGTCGGCGCGGCCATGGCCCTCGCGGTGTCCTCTGCTCCCGCGCCGCGTGCGGCGCTCGGGACCTTCGCTAAATCCTCCCTCACCGCCTCACTCAGCCTCCAGCTCCCCGAAGCCCAAGACCCAGCCCCGGCGCCTCAAGCCTGGTGGCTGGGCGCGGGGCATGCTGGGAGGCGGAGGCCGGAGACGACGGCGCGCAGGCCCAGTGCGCCCCCTGCAGGCGGGAGGAACGGGCGCCCCCTGCAGGCGGGAGGAACGGGCGCCCCCTGCAGGCAGGAGGAACGGGAGCCCCAGGGTCTGTAACCACGCTCGTGCTGACCGAGCCTAGCTTAAGCCCACTGGCTGGCATGGAGCCTCTGATCCTTGCGATCTCCCAGAAAGGGAAACAGTCTGAGACAGAGGAAGAGAAGGCAGAAACAGAGGCCAGAAGGACCGCGAGGGACGCCACCTAGGGACACCGGATAGATAAAAGCAGTAACTTTTGTCTCTGTAAATAAAATTTTAACATAACCTCCGCTTATGCCCGATAACTGAAAAGTAAGAGGAGAGAAACAGGACTTCAGTTGGAGGAGCTGCAGTGGTAAGGGTCTGAAGAAGAGTATCAGACCCATCTGCCAACAAAGATGAAAAGCCCAGGGCCTGGGGTTATAGCTCAGTGGCACAGCACATGCCTGGCAGGTGCAAGGTCTTGAGTTCTATTCCCACTACTAAAAAACAAAGAAAGATGGGGAGATCAGTTAAACGAGGTGCTGTGGTGGGCTGGGGTCTGGCTGATCATTGTCTCAGTCCCAAGTTCAAAGTTCCAGAAGAATCCTTATGGGTTGGGGGTGAGTTCGGTTCCATCCCCAGCCTGTTCCTTTCCCCTCTTAAGTTTTGAGGCAGGGTTTTGCTAAATTTCCCAGACTAGCCTCAAACTTGAGATGCTCCTGCTTCAGCCTACTGAATAGCCGAGGTTACAGGTGTGCATCCCCACGGCTGGTGGCAACTTTCCTGCTTGATTTGATCCCCACTGATTATTTTTTGTTTTATTTTGGTTGCTTTTTTATTTATTTACTATTTATTTATTTGTATTTAGTGCAGAGTCTACAGGGTCTCACTACATAAATCAGACTCATAGTGATTCTCCTGTGTTCAGCCTCCCAAGAGCTGGGATTACAGGCGCATGTGACCACGCCCAGTCTCAATAGCCATCTCAGCACACTCTGGGGCCAGGGCCAGCATGGCACACCAGGGATCAAACCCCAGCCCCTGCGCTCTGACTAGGAAGGTGCTTTAGTCCACTGAACTATCTGGCCTGTCCTTGTTTTTTATTTTTTATTATTAATCAAACTCAGGACCTTGTGCTTGCCAGGCAGGCACTGTGCCCCTGAGCTATATCCACAGCCCGTTTTGATCGTTTTTTAGATAGGGTCTGGCCATATAGTGAGAGTGGCCCTGAACTCATTATGTAGCCCAGGCTGGCCTCAAATTTGCAATGATCCTCCAGCCTCAGCCTCCTGAGTGCCGGGATTACAGCCATGAACCATGATGCCCAGCTTGATCTCAGATGATTATGTTTCAGGTAATTTGGAGACATATTTTGTGCTACAGAAACAAGAAAAAATCCAAGGATTCTCTAAGGAAGAAAAGCTATGAGGTTTATTTTTATTTTTTTTTAATACACAAGATATTTTTTTTAAATACACAAGATATAGAACAATCTCAATCTATTTCATAGAAAGCAGGTCAAATAGACTCACTTAGTGTAGGAGTATCCATGGGAAGCAACATAGAGCTTTCTCCTGGGGCATAAGTAGGAACTAGCTCACAGAAAGTATTTTTCTTTCATATCCAAAGGCTTGCTGCTGTTTCCCACTCAGAGCAAGGTCCTCTCATTTGAACCGGTTGTCAATCAAAGTTCCTTTCACTTTTGCTTTCTTGGCTTCCGGTTCGCCAGCTCTCGCAGTCTTCTCTTGCTCGTACCTTTGCGCTCCAGCTGTTTCCCAATCACTTTGGCATTCTGGGCATACCAATCAGCAACTTCTCTAGCCTCACTCTCCTCTTCTTCTTCATCAATGGTAGACACGGTGACACAGCTGCACTTGCCCATGTCCTTAGTCTGTTTGGTCATCATCACCTTTTTGAGAGGCTCTTGTTTCTGGGTATACATATTTGCTTTCCCAAAACCCTGACCAAACTTCACTACGGCTCCATCCACAACGAAGGTTATGGGAGCGTTCTTCAGCTGGGACTGGTAGAACAGTGGGAGTCCGCACTTCGCACACGTCTTCCCGTATTGTCTTTCGAGGCCTTCCGGCCTCTAAAGGGACACAGTCTCTTCATCTTCTGTGTTACAAAACGTGTGGGCGTGTTGGGAAGCATCAATCACACAGGCTCTGTCCCGGGGTCTCATGGGCAACTTCTCTACCTGACAGTCCAGAACCAGGACCATCTGGCCGCACAAACAGTAGTAAACATGGAGAAGCTTGTGGCCGTCGTCATATTCCTCGCGATCTCGAGTATCTGAGCAAACCGCTGACCGAGAGATCACTGTGGGCATGTTTCCAAGTATAACCAAGGACCTGGTGGTATGAGTTTTTTTAGTAATGTAAAAGATTGCTAGTCCCAGAGGCAGGTGAAAGTTGCTAAAATAGTCTGGGAAAAATTACCTTATGATGAAAGATGAGTCCTCAGGGCCGGCCTGATAGCACAGAGGACTAAAGCGCCTGCTTTGGCAGAGCACAGCGGTCAAGGTTTGATCCCAGGCTGTGCAGTGCTGGCCCTGCCCCCGGGGGTGCGAGGAGACATTGAGACTGGGCGTGGTAGCGCCTGTAATCCCAGCACTTGGGAGGATGAAAATAGGAGAATCACTACGAGTCCGAGTCCGATCTTAGTGAGACCCTGTAGGCCATGTCCTAAATACAGGAAAGAAGAGAGAAAGAAAAAAAAAATTAGTTCACAAAGCAAATATGAGAATGACGTCATGGACTTTACTCAGAGACTCTAAAATTGAGACTTTTTTTTTTTTTTTACTATATCAATGTTTCCTAGAGAAGTGGATATAATACAAGATATACAAATGTAGGGGCCAGGGTTATATAGCTTAGCAATACATCAATTGCCTGGTAAACACAAAGTTCTGAGTTTAATTCCTGGCACCAAAGATAGGTAAATAGGTATGAATTTATACTTACAATGGCCTCCCAGAGTTGGGTATGGAAGAGTGCAAAAGGTCAGTCTCACTGGGGATCTGAATGATGAAGCCAAAGGCCTGGAGCTCTGTTAGCGTGCAGTGTTACTTCATATCGGGGACCAAAATGGTCTGTGCAGCAGGCTGGAGGGCTGGTTGATGATGGAAGCCAAAGAGTTTGCACCAGAAGCCAGGAGACAACGTCCAAGGCAAAAGCTGAGACTGGAGCTCCTGCGGAGGAAACACAGCGGTCCTGTTTCCTTTATAGCGTTCTCTCCACAATCCTCCCTAGGGCGGGTCTTCCACACTCAGCAATGCTGAGCAATCCAGTTGGGGGTGATTCACTCAAGTTGTCACAACCGTCGCATTATTTTTTATTAGTTCATATTTGTCATACATATTGATGACATTCATCATAGGAGATTTCTGCCTGCCTATAACATCCTTTTTCTCGTTTTTAGTGCAGTGTCTACAGGGTCTCACTACGTAGATCGGACTCGCGGTGATCTTGCCTGTTTTTCAGCCTCCCAAACGCTGGTACTACAGGGGTGTGCCAGCCCTGCCCCCGGGGTGCGCGGAGACCTCCACTGAGAGTGGGCATGGTGGCGTGCGCCTGTAATTGCAGTGCTTGGGAGGCTGAAAACAGGAGAATCAGCCTGATCTACATAGTGAGACCCAGTAGATCCTGTACTAAATACATTAAAAAAAAAAGAAGAATTTTAGCTATTTTATCTTCCAGAAGATTAGCTTATTGTTTAGTACAGGGTCTACAGGGTCTCACTATACAGATCAGGCTTGTAGTGAAGTGATCTTCCTGCTTTCAGCCTCCCAAACACTGGGATTCCAAGCACGTGCCACCACGTCCAGTCTCAGTCACCATCACAGTGCGCCCAGGAGGCAGGGCCAGTCCCACACGCTGGTAGCTGCTGTTTTAATATTTATATGTTTGACCCATTCCGATTTTAGTTTAGTGCATGGTGATACGTATAGCTCCAGGTTTAAACTTCAACCCGTGGAAAGCCAGTTTTCCAGCACCACTTATTAAGGAGGGTATACTTCTTCCGGTGAAGGTGTTTGCCTCCTTTGTCAATGATAAGGTGGCTGAATATGCTTGGAGCTGTTTGGGATCTTCTATTCTATTCCGCTGATCCTTGGGTCTGATTTACCTTTGCCAGTACCATGTTGTTTTCTTCACAGTCACTGTAATATGATTTAAAATTGGGATTTGTGATGCCCCCTGTCTTGCCTTTGTTGTCCAGAATTGCTTTTGGTATTCTAGGTGTCTCCTGGTTCCATATGAATTTTAGGATGACTTTCTCTAGTTCTGTGAGGTATGCTGTGAGTATTTTGATTGAGATTGCTTTAAATTTGTATAACAGTTTTAGAAGTATGGGCATTTTCCCTATATTGTCTCTGTGTATCCAAGAACTGGGGATATCTTTCAATTTCTTTCTTTCTTTTGTGGAACTGGGGATTGAACTCAGGCTCTTGTGCTTGCCAAGCAAGTGCTTAGTCTACTGAGCCATCTCCCCAGCCCTCTTTCTTTCTTTCTTTCTTTTTTTTTGCGGAACCGGGGATTGAACTCAGGCCCTTGAGCTTAGCAGGGAAGCACTTATTCCACTGAGCCATCTCCCTGGCCCCTTCAATTTCTGATGTTCTTTTCAATCCCTTTTCTCAGAGTACTGTCATTTTCAGTGTATAGGTCTTTCATTTACTTTTCTTTTATTTTTTTGAGACAGGATCTCACTAAGTATTTAATCTAGCTTGTAATTCGATATATATCCCAAGCTGGCTTTGAACTCCTAGCAATCCTCCTGCCTCAACCTCCTAAGTGCTGGGATTATAGGCATTAGACACCACGCCCAGCCACTTTCACTTACATTGTTAGATTGATTCTTAAGTATTTTCTGTTTCTTTCTTTATTTTTTTTTTTGAAGGAGTACAAAATAGTATTAAAACAGAAAAATTACAAGAGGTACAG